ATCATGCCTTTTCAATTGGATGGTTTTCTTGGAACAATTTCTGCTTGGATGTGTTTAGGGCAGTATGGTTTTCTCTAGTGCAACTCAGTCCTTGGGGTGGCCACTTGCTTTAAAGCAAAGAACAGTTCTTTTATATCTTGCCTTGTCTTGCCTTTTTCTTGAAAGAATTCAAAAGGCAGTAACCAAAGAAATGGAAAAAAGCTCCAGCCCCCTGCGCTGTTTGTAATTTTCCATCCAGTCTTTCTTACAGTGTTATTAGCACAGCTCTGTGTCTCTTATGGCCATCATACACACTCAGCCTTGGTTTCTGGAAGATGTGTTGGTGTAGGTTTCCTGGGTTAGTAGGTTTCCTTTGATCTTCTGCCTGCCACATCCTGAGTGTATGTGTGCTGGTCCCATTCCTGGAATGGGTACCACCTGGTTCTTTGAAGCCTTTTGTGTTGTTCTTCCTCTGTGGAACTCTCCTGAACTTTCTTCCTTCTCAGTACCCAAGCAGTTACACAGTTACGTATATTACTTCCCAGTTCTTCTGAGAGTTAGCATGAACTGTTTGTTATATTATTCTTCCTTGGTTTTATCAGCCAGTCACGGTGTGTTGATATCGTTGGCAACAGGGCAAAACGATCATGTGTGTTTGGTATCTTGTTTCTTCTTATAACACAAATTTACACGTGTGAGCACTTGGCACGATCATAGCCAGGCTGTGCAGCAGATTGGATTTTGCAAATCCACACTGCTACTGAAATTGGGGCTCTATGTGGTAGAAGAAATTTCTGTACCATCGAGTCCACATTGTCACAATTTCAAACACTGAGATTCAAATCATCACGGTATCACGGAACACTTTGCAAGTCCAGTCACCAGATCTGATTGATTTGCCAGATCTGGCTTTGTTGCTTCATAGCACACCTTGACCCAGACACAGATGTCAAGAGCTCAATTTTAGAAGTGTTGCCCTACCCACCTACCTCACTCCAATCTCTCTGTGTCTCTGTTCAACATGGATTCCTAAGTAGTCTTTAACAACAAACATGAGATTAATTCACATTCAGAGTCCAATGTACATGGACTAGCCTGGCCTACCTGGGCTCTTTCTGACATCACAACCTATGTGTTACCTCTTGTGTGCACAGTGAAATTCCCATGCTTCCCCTATGCACCATGCCCAGGAGTGATCCATTTCCCTGACTGTCTCCTCCTTTGCATCCTACAAGCACCTCCTCCAGGAAATGCCACTAAAGCATGCCCTTTCCTTAAAACTTCCTCTTCCAGGAAATTTCCCTTTCTTTTTGGGGCTGTGGAAGCTGTGTTTCTTCATTAAAGCATGTGGACAGCTCCACGGTAAATGTTAAAGCCGTGTGTGTGTGTGTGTGTGTGTGTGTGTGTGTGTTATCTATATCTCTATCTGTCTATCTATCTATCTATCTATCTATCTATCTATCTATCTATCATCTATTGAGAGAGAGGTTGTAGAGGTTTAATGTAGGAGATATACATACATATATATATACACATATATATACATATCTTCCTATATACTTCCATATGTATGTGTTACATTTTTTTCTGTCTGAATTGTAACCCCTAGCACCCAGGCTACCATAGCATGGCTAATCACTAACTACTGGATGAAGGGGCCCTTGCTGTCACATGGTCCCACTTATGGACACATACCGCTTATATTCTACTTCAATTGAAGCAACAGTCTGTCCTCCTTCATGTCTTTGTTCCTCTAATTTTCTTAAACTACCAGTTGCCCACATGTCTGTCACTGCCCTCCTCTTTCCATAGAAGTTCTAAAATAAAACAGTATGCAAGCATTTTTAAGTTACACCTCAGCATGAGATTCTGTCTTAAATGTTCTGAGCCACATTTACTTGTTATTTACATTTTTATTTGTAAAAGAGTTAAAGTGTTGACAGAGAGTTGCAATGTGTTTAAGGTAGTTTTAACATATATTTCTATAAAATAATGGGTTTCATTATGACATTTCCATGCATACATGTCATGCAATTTGATTAGTCTGAGCCCATAATGAGCATCTTGTTCCAATTTGTAGATAATTTCCATGTGTAACCTTCTTCATTGGGCAAGATTTCAACATTTTTTTGATGGACCAGTAAGTTTTCTAAGGCAGTCGATCAGTATCATAGAGGTATTATATGTATTTAAGAAAATTTTAAGTTTGTATTAAAATTCAAAAAATTTTGTCAAAAGAAGACTTATAATTGGAATATGAAATTGTACATGTAGTTACCTTTATAAACACTATCTATTGAACGAGTGTCCAAGTACAGGCATCAGGTTATCAGGTTTGTTGGTTTTTTTTAAGTAATATTTTTATTCATTCTTTAGAATTTCACACAAAGTATTTTTACTGAATTGTTATCCATTTCATACATCTTGATCATATTTAGACCTCCCCTACCTAATTTCTTGCACCCTGACATATATATTTAGGCAGATCGAATCAAGTTTATGTCCTCGAATGTCCCTCCATGTGACTCCATGCACTGGAGCCTGGTCTACCTATCTGTGGATACTCCCTTACAGAATACCAATTCATGCTCACCCTGCAGTAATCACCTGCCAATATTTTTTTCAGCTAAGGCTGGGACTTCCTACCCACTTCTCCATTTCTGTGCTGGATTTTTATTTGCTTTGAGTCTTCATGGATCTTGTGCATGCTGTCAATATTGCTTTAAGTTCACAGGAGCAAATTGCAAGCCACTTGGGAAACTGTTTCCTTGTGGTCATCCATCACCCTGGCTCTTACAGTCCTTCCTCCCCCTCTTCTGCAATGGTCCCTGAGCCCTGGGTTGCAGAGGTTTGATATAGGAGTCTCATCCAGGCACACACTCTCTGCAGTCTCTTATTTACATTTTTGGCCGTTTGTAGCCTTCTATGTTTTTCTCCATCTGTTGCATGAGGAAGCTTTTCTGGTGAGTTGAGAGATGCGTTAATATTCTCTCTGCCCCTGTTCCATTATGTTCCCTGAACCTTAGGTGTAGAGGTTGCATTGTAGATGTACACTTAGGGCTGAGTATCTCACAGACATTTGTTCTCTGCATTTTGACTTTGATCAGTTGTGGAACTCTGTAATAATCTCCATCTGTTGCAAAATGAAGTTTCTTTGATGAGTGGTGAGACATGTACTTGCTTGAAATTATGAGGATACATTTTTAGTATACAGTAAGAAATTACATTTGTCTGGGGATGTGACAGAAATAGGTTTATATCTAGGATTTATGACCTCTTCAGCCTTGTGTATTTGGTTATGTTTACAATACCACACATGAATTCCCTCCCACTGAGCAGGCCTTAAGTCCAATGATGTAAGATACCTAAGATTAAAATGCTAACTGCTCTGCCAGCAGAGTCACTTTACTGTCCAGGTCATTGTTATGGCCATCAGGCATTACAGCTGGTTTGGTCCATTGGTTGATTTTCTCCCTTAGCAACTTCTGTACTAACCTCCGATACTATGAAAGTTAGTCATTAGGGAGGAGGCTCCCAGGGAAGTTCAAGCTCAGTTGTTCCAAGACCTGTGTCCAAAGTATGTCCTGTCATCAAAAATAGGTGCAGTCAAGCACCAAAGAACACATATTCCTCTCAGCAGCCCATGGAAGTTTCCCTACAATAGACCACATACTGGGGCACAAAACAAACCTCAGCACATACAAAAATATTGAAATAATTCCAATAATAAATAATTCCAATAATATTGAACCACAACATAATATATCTTATCAACAGTAAAAGAAGCTCTAGTAACTACAAGAGCTCATTTAAATTTAACAACACACTCCTAAATAGTGAGTTTGTCAGAGAAGAAATCAAGAAAGCAATAAAAATATTCCTGGAACTAAATGAAAAACAATAACACAACACAACAAAACCTCTGAGACATAGCAAAATCAGTCCTAAGAGGGAAATTTGTAGCTGTAAAAATCCGAATGAGCACAAATAAATGACTTAAAGATACAACTCAAGAATTTGGAAAAGCAAGAACAAGCCAAATCCAAACCCAGCAGAGAAGAAACAATAAAAACTAAAGCAGAAATCAATAAAATGGAAACAAAGAAAACAATACAGAAAAATCAGTGAATCTAAGACTTCTTTCTTTGAAAACATGAACAAGACAGTCAGACCCATAACACAACTACCCAAAAGAAAAAAAAAAGAGCAAATCCAACAAAATCAGAGACAAAAGTGGAGACATCACAACAGACACCCAAATGACCCAGAACATTATTGGGGAATACAAAATCAATTTACCCAACTCGGTAGCCTTTCTACATACCAATAACAAGCAAAGAGAGAAAGAGTTCATTGAAATAACTCCAATTCACAATAGCCGCAGAAACATACCTAGGAATAAACCTAACCAAAGGCATTAAAGATCTCTACAATGACAATTTTGGATCTTTGAACAAAAAGATTAAGGAAGCCACGCAAAGATGGAAAGACCTCCCATGCTAATGGATTGTCAGAATATTGTGGAAATGGCCAGCCTATCAAAAGCAGTTTATAGATCCAATGTAGTCCCAATCAAAAGCCCCATGATAGTTTGAACAGACATTTTTTTTAAAAAGCCTAAATTTCACATGGCATCACAAAAGACCCCAGATAGGCAAAGCCACCCCCAGCACAAAGAGAAGTGCTTCAGGGATCACCATACCAGGTCTCAAAATACATTACAAGATATTTTGATCATATTCACACCCCTTCCCCATCTCCTCTCAGATATCCCCATTCTGTATGCCCTCGTTTTGTATCATTTGTTTTCAATGCCTATGGAGTCCAATTTTTGTTCCCTAAACATTCCCGAATGTGGATTCATCCCCTGAAGCCTCGTCAGCCCACCACACCTCACACTCTTGTTGCTTTCGGTCAACACATGGGAAAGCTTTCCTTTTCCTTTCCCTAGCTGGCCACCTCCATGCTCACCCATCCCCCTTGTCTTCAGCTAATGTGCTTCTTATATTTTTCTTTTCCAGGAAGAATGTCAGAACTACATCCGTGTGCTGTTAGTGGGTGGGGACCGGTTATTCACCTGCGGGACAAATGCTTTCACGCCTGTCTGCACCAACCGCTCGGTATGTCTCCATTGAGCTTCAACAAAACTTAGTATCAGGCAGAGTCAAACATGATATGTTTATTTAAAACTTCACTTTAAATGCTTTTTGGTATACCAGGATATTACTCTTCAGCTTAAAATAACCTTTGGCAAAGTTGAATAAATATTTGTTTTTTTAATTTCATTTAAGAATATAGTAAAGATTTATTTATTTTTGCTTATTTTAATTGAATTTTTGTGTATTTCATACATAATGTTTTAATCATCTTTATACCCCCTTCCTCGTCAGCACAGTCTCGTAGTACCCCTACTAGATTTCATGCATTCTGTCATTTATGTTAAGGCCCATCAATTCAAGCTAGTGTCCCCAGACATCACTCAGTGAAAGTTCATCCATTGGGGTCTAGTCAGCCTATCTAGAGTCACTCCCTTAAAGAAGATCAACGCTCCCTCACCCAGCAGTAATCAGCTGCCCAATATTTCTTCAGCTAAGATTGGGGCTGCTGTCCATTTCCACGGTTCTATGCTGGGTATTTGTCTGCTTGAGTTTCCATGGGTCTTTTGCATGCTGTCACCATTCCTATAAGTTCATATGAGCAAGGTACCAAAAGCCTAGAAGACTCTCTTTCTATATGGTAATTCACCTCCTCCCCTGGCTTTTACAGTCTTTCTGCCTCCTCTTCTGCAATGGTCCCTGAGCTCTGGGTGGGTGAAGTTTAATATAGGAGTCCTGTTCAAGGACCCACACTCTTCAGACTCTCATTCTCTATGCTTTAGCCATTTGTGTCCTTAGTGTTCATTGCCCTGTTGCATGAGGGAACGTCATTGATGAGAGTTGAGAGATGCATTAATACTCTCTCTACCCCTTGTTCCATTATGCTCCATGAGGCTTAGGTATAGAGGTTCCATTGTAAATGTGTCATTTAGAGTTGGGCATCTCACAGACACTATCTCTTTGTGTGACCAGTTGTGGAACTCTGTACAATTACAGACAGAGATTGTATTCTATGTCTAATCAATCAGAACTGTTAGTTACATGAAGAACCAGATGTTAATTGTAGCTTATGTACCTAAATATACTTCAAAACTATTTTAATAAGCATTTTCTCTATGAATGACCCTAAATATTAATCATAAACATTCTCCTTTCTTAATTATGTTAGAAATACTATTAATTACTAAAATGTTGTAAAATCCGTAGGAATATAGTGTCTATAAACTGGATAAGAAGTGTGTCACAAATGAAAGGAATAAACATCCATAGGCAAAGTAAAGTACACCTCTCTTTATAGGCAGGAAGTTTCATCGTGCACATCCCACTATGGAAGCATGACAGGATCATTAGACATGCATGCTATCTTTCTAATTCACTATATTAATTTAATCTTCCTTGGGAACCAGGAAACGCCATTATGTAAATTTATAGGTCATACGGTTTCTCTTTAAACCGTAGCTCATCATCTAGGCTTCCTGTTCATTATTTAACAATTAATGTCCAGCTATTGGTAGTTAGGGACAAGGCTGGTGATGAAAGGTGGTGTCATCAACAGTTCCCCACGTCTCACACGCTGTTCTCATCCCACCCTCAACATCTACACATACGGATGTTACTCTTCGGGGCTGGTTTTATAAAGGAAGAATCAGAGCTCTAAGGACTCTACAGTACTTCTCTAGGACTGTATTTCCAATGGCAGAGGATGCAGTAGACTTGTATGTCCTTGTATAAACCATCTACACTATCTGTTCACTTGGTTAAGAGTCAAGAACCAACATGAGTCTTGTCAAAATTTCCCAATAACCCCGGAGCTTTCTTCATTCAGAGTGTTGGTCAGGACCAGCATTTACAAAGCCAAATTCCTGCAAGCTGCCTCCTGACATCCAGGTGACTTTCTGAAGACTAAACGGGGGCAAGAAAAGTATATGAAGTGTATACTACATGATGTGGAATATTCACACATGCTTTAGCTCTCAGTAGTATTTAAGGTTATTCATAATTTTTAAAACTGTATTAAATTAATGTAATGTGCATTGTTCTTAGCTGTTCTTTATGTACTATAAACATTAAAGTTGGGTTCTTCATTAAAGTGGAAGAATCAGTACTCATACATCATAATTCAAAGCCATGTATACAATAATATTGCTTCATATTTTTTATCAGTAGCATGAAGTTCAGTAGCTATAGGATTGAGAGTGATTGATGGATTCTCTAGCCATGACTGCAGTGGGCTGTTTTTATAAAGTCAGATTATTAAAGCTTTCCATAGCTCACATATCCCAGAGTGTGCATGGCACATCTCCCACTTGGGACAGGGGAAAACGGGGTCCATTAGCACCATTCAAGGGGCTTCTCAGGGATAACTGCTTTGCCTCTCATCTTCATCCACAGTTAAGTAACCTGACTGAGGTCCATGATCAGATCAGTGGTATGGCCCGCTGTCCCTACAGCCCCCAGCACAATTCCACAGCTCTGCTCACAGCCAGCGGGGAGCTCTATGCTGCAACAGCCATGGACTTTCCAGGACGAGATCCAGCCATTTACCGAAGCCTGGGCTCTTTGCCCCCTCTTCGCACTGCTCAGTACAACTCCAAATGGCTCAATGGTAAGCCCTTCGGTCACTCCCATTTTCCCATTGCTTTGCTTTGTGGTACTTGGTTAGTTATTACTTAAAACACTCTTCTGAAGAAAAAAATCTTCATTCTCCTGTTGCAAAAGAAGCTTCTTTGATCAGTGGTGACTGACATTCTTGCCTGTAAATATAAGGATTCATAATTAACATATGGTAAGAAATTACATTTATCTAAGATATGACAGTCTTAGGGTTTTCTCTAAGATCTATGATCTCTCTAGTTATGTATATTTGGCTATGGTTACAGTACCACCCATGAATTCCCTCCCATCGAGTGGACCAAAGCACAGAGAATAAGAATCTGCAGAGTGTGCATCCTTGCACAGGTCTCCTATATAAACATCAGCCACACGGGGTTCAGTGACCATTGCAGAAGGAGGGGCAGAAAGACTGTAAGAGCCAGGGGAGGAGGTGCAGGACCATATGGAAACAGAGTCCTACAGCCTCCTGGGACCTGCTCATGTGAATCTTTACACTTCTACCTATGTAATCTTTAGCAGGTGTCCTGCCTGCTTCTCTGTGAGGACACTCAAGCACTAGCTGCACCACAGGCTGTGGCTGAGATGTGGAAGTATGGGGAAGTTTCAGGGCTGGCCAGCGCTCTCCTCTTTGTTCCTGTTTCCTCTTGATTGCCTGTGAGATCTGCTCTGCTGGCTTGTGCAGTCCTGGCTCCTGGCACGTTGCCCGTGTGCACCCCTAGTGTCCTGAGGGGCAGCGTGCAGCCTCCTCCCAGTGCTCCTCAGCATGCACCCCTTGCTCTGCCCTCACTCCTGTGATTTTCCTCTGGTGACCAGTTCCTATGCTTCTGTAGCTTCCAAAGGTTGATCATCCATTTCTATTGATGTACGTCCATGATGTATGTCCATTACTCCAAGAGGAACATTTGTGAATTTTCCTGCAATAACTAAATCCCTCCCATTTCACCGTCAGAGGAGGCCAAAGTGGCACTTTGGCCTCCCACCCCTTCCGTGTCTCTTCCATGTCCTAAACGGACCTCTTGCCTTTAAAACTACCCAGTGCTACTGGCTCTTCTTTCACTTTGAAAGATTATAAAACTTGTTCTGTGAAGAGCCACAGACTAAGAATTTCAGTCTTTGTCTCCAAAATGGCCCTGTGCAACATTTCAGTTCTGCCATTGCAGTACAAAAGTCATTCTAGCTAATGCATGGATGAATGGGCATGCTGTGTGGCAATAAAGCTTTATTTATAAACAGGTAGCAGGGCATATTCAGCCCCTGGGTTGGAGTTTACTGGCCCTGTTCTATCTGGAAACTCTGTCCTCAGGGAATCCTCCTGGCCAACTGCTCCAGTTCCTCCATCTTCTCAGACAGCACCTTCCCCAGGGGACTTCACCCTGACCATGTTATTTTAAAAGTACACCCCCTGCTAACTTCCCCTCCTGACTCTTCATTGTGCTCATTTTTTAAGCTTATCCAGGACTGTTTTGTACATCATTTCCTTGGCATATGCAGAAATCGTCTTCTTCTAAGTAAATTATCTTTAATTGTTAAAAAGTTTAATGACTGTCTTTAAAGTGCTCAAAAAGCTTACTGAAAGCTTGGTCAGTACCATCAATGTATCCCGAGCCTGGGGGAAGGGAGCTCAAGATGGCTACCAAAAATATTCTGGACTAGAAACGTAATAACTTATAGAAGACAGTGCTGACAGTATTAGAACATTTGTGATTGGAAATGAGCCCTCCATAGGCCGCCATGGGACAGACTCTCAGACTCCCGGAAGCTGAGGAACCTGCGTATCAGCCCACAGGAAGAAAACAAGGCTTGCCCTGTGTCCTCTGTACTTCCTTGTGGGAACAGATATGGATTTTCACAGACAGTCTAGGTGACTGTAATTGACTCCATCCTGGGAACACTGAGGTCCTGCCTTGTAGAGTCCATATACTGAACAGTCCTGATGGTGTGAGTCCCTTGGGCTCTTAGACTCACATCAGTCCTAAATACAAGTGAGCATGGAAACCTAGCAGAATGAGGGCAAGTGGGGTTAGGAGATAAATCTTATTAAAACCCGAACAGATACTCAGATTTCTTAGTCATCAATGTAGCTTGCTTACAATAGATCTCCCTCACTGTGAACAGGGAGGGCTCTTTTCTTCAGAAGCTTAAATTGTCTATAACGCCATGACAAGGCCTCAACACATTTCAAGAAATGTCTTGTGACAGGCAATAGCACAGATAACCCCTCTAATGTTCATGCTTGGTCATGTTTATCAGAAGACACTGGTCAGAATATCTGTGCTGTGTAGAATGGGTATAATTTGAAAACTCTGTGGTTAACTAAATATGGTTATCTACATAAAGTAAGGAAACATCTTAAGAGCTTTCCATGTACCATCTGCATATTGATGTACCTACCATCGACTTGTTATCCCCAGTTATCATACCAGTACATGGGAGAGCCCCAAAATCTGGGTTCAGCATGCCAGGTACAAGGGAGACCCCACCTGTACCTCATCTGCAGGCTTCCATGCAGCCCTCTAAGGAAGATCCTAGTCCTTGATTTATAGATGACACCTGTGCCCACCTGCAAAAGGGTCATAGCTAAATGGGAACCCAGGATTTGAAAACAGATCCCCTGCAAAGCTTGTATCCGTTGCCCACCACTGGCTACCAGCCTCTCCTGTGTTTAAGATTACACGTTGGGAAACCATCATACCTGGTCTCCTCCTCTCTGGTGATGTGCGTATCTTTGTACAAAGCTGCAAGAGAGGTGTGGAAGGGGGCCATGTGTACTTTGGAAGAAGGTTGAGTCTTCTCATTGTTAAAGCATGGCAAAAAGGATGTAATGAATTGGATCTACCCAACCAAAGAATCCCGGCTGGTGAGATGACTAAGACGGTGCTTTATGGGTACAAAGTTTGGTTAAAGATGTAAAGAAGTCTATTTTGATACTACTTTTTGAAAATAGAGTGATAGTCACCAGGCACTGAGTGTCTGGGTGCAGGGGAGCCACAGAATCCTTTCTTCTCTCCATACTCGCCAATAGTCACTTACAACCTTTGAGTTGAACATCTCAATGGAGAATGGATGATATATAGAGGCAGAGGCATGGGCAGTATGTGCTGATTTACATGGAAACCTCATGGAAATCCACACGAAGAAAAAGATCTCACTCTAGAATAAATACCCCACTCACTATCCAGCAATCATAGCAGCTTCCCAGTGAAGGTCTAACCTCCACCCCTGTGGTCATTAAGACCTGCTTCCTTTCTTTCTCCGAAGGCTCCTATTGTGGACCATCATCTTGCTCCAAATCATATTGCCATCCCTTTTTGTAAGATGCTCTGTTCCATGAGTTGCTGTAAATTGTTATTCTGTTAAGCACTTTGTTTTCCCCAGTGGACAGCCTCTTGGGATAGTTTACTCAGAGCTACATATCACATAGCCAGCTCTCTCTGTTTTTATTTATTTATTTGTTTTTGTTGTTTATTTTGCCCTGGACCAAATCAAATCCGGAAAAAAAGATAGAGCCATCATTATGGTCCTATTGATTCACTGGAGCTTGTGGGAAACTTGATAAATACTGGATCATGGTACAGCAGATATCTTACTTCAAATAAATCTTTTCTATTTTTGATGTTTGAAAATATTTATAAGCATCGAAATATTTTTCCCATACTTGAATTCAAATTCCAATCAAGTGTCTTATAAATATTGGTCAGATCATGCAGATTAAGTTATTGGTTGTTAACAAGAAAGACACCCACAGCCAAAGCTTTATCAGGAAGACAATGAACATGGCAAATAGAAATTCTGAGTTTGAAAAGTATTCAGAAATACTCATGGACATTATTTCTAGCTAAATGAGCCTGGGGACATGAGGCTTAGTGGAATCTGATGAGGCAGGTGGGAAACCCACCAGAAGGTCTGTGCTCAGAGTAGGGGAGGACAGCACAGTGGACACCCATTGCTTTGAGCTGGAAAGTTTATACAGATACAGTTAGTGAAGATCCAGTAGACACAGAGACGCCTCGGAAGGAGCAGCGTTCTGTCTAGATGCATGCTAACTCGGGGTGGTTCTCCTTTACTGTAAAGGCAGCACACACTGCAAGCTGTTCCTCCTGGAATCAGCAAATCCATGTAAATAGTGTACTTCAAGGAGTCCTATTCCCCCAAACAAGAAAGGAGAAACAAACCACTTGAACCAGTATTTCAGTGATGCTGTGCACTCTGAATGGAGTTCCTGAGGTGGCAGTGGTCACATGACTTCACAGGCTAACCCAGGCTGTGCTTTCTCTGCGTTTCTACGCACCACTGCCTCTGATCCCACAGAAATCTGAATCCAAACTCTCGCACTGGCCTGGCCTGGCCTGGCCTTCTATCCTGAACCCTCTGCCCTGATACTGGCTGCATTCCAACCCTGTCAACCCTTCTGGTTTCTCCCAGGCCATTCCCGCCTTGGGGAAGGGCACCTAACTGCCCTGCTCTTGGCCTGTGTCTCTTTATAACCTTCTCCAGGCCCCTCACCCCTTTCTAGCTGTATTGAGCCCTCAGGCCCTAGCAATCATTGTAATCACTTATGGGGCTCTGTCTTGTTGGTTTCTTTGTATTGTCCCTGAGGGGATGATTATGTCCACCAGTTTACCAAGGATTCCCAGGGCAGTACAGGAGTTGGTCAGTGAGGCCTGGTGAGGGAGGCATGCTCCAGCTGGCCTTAAAGGTTCAGTGTGTGTGCTGGATAGCTTTAGTGTCAACTTGACACACCTGGGTTGAGGGAGCCTCAATTGGGGGGAACTACCTCCATTAGACTGGCCTGTGGCCATGTCTGTTGGGCATCTTCTTGATTGTTGAGTGCTGTGGGAGGGCCCAGCCCACTGTGGGCAGTGCCACCCTTGGACAGGTGGGCCTGTGTTGTATAAGAAAGCAGGCTGAGCAGGGCCCAGGTGAGCAAGCCAGTAAGCAGAGTTCCTCCATGGCCTGTGCTCCAGCTCCTGCTTCCAGGTTCCTTCCCTGAGT